GGGGGGGGGGGCCGCGGGGAGGGGGCTCTAACCACTCCGCCACCCAGCCAGGGTGAGGGTACCTCTCTCACAGACAGCAGCACTCACATCGTCCTCATGCATCTTGGAGGCTGTTGGAGAAAACCATCTGTCTGTCCTCTTCCGGCCCAGGCAGAAATGTTTATACGTCATTGTTTATTGACTTTTCCAGCCCCCCCCCACACACACTTTAAAAAAAATTTTTTTTTTTATTGATTTTAGAGAGAGGAAGAGAGAGGGCGAGAGAGAGAGAAACACTGATGAGAGAGAAACGTCAATTGGTTGCCTCTTGCACACCCCCTGCTGGGTACCGAGCTGGCAACCTGGGCATGTGCCCTAACCAGGAATGGAACCATGACCTCCTGGTGCATGGGATGGTGCTCAACCAACTGAGCCACACCGGCCGGGCCGAAGTTCCTCCTTCTTAGAAAGCACATGCCTTAGACTTTACTAGCATCCATTTGGCAAGGTATTTGTAGTCCTAATCTTGTCACCTACCTTTCCCTCCGTTTGCTGCCTGTCTCCCTGGCTGGCGTCCTCCAGTGAGCGCCATGGTTCATCACAGCCCGGGTTGCTGAGCTGATGGTATGTCTGTGTGAATAATCACAGCTGATTGCAGTCCTGACGTTTTTACCCAGGAGGGAGGAGCCCAGCGTGCCTGCAGCCGTGTCCCTGGCCACCAACTCCGCGTACTACAGCACGTCGGCCCCCAAGGCAGAGCTGCTGATCAAGATGAAGGACCTGCAGGAGCAGCAGGAGCCCGAGGAGGACTCAGGGAGTGACCTGGACCACGACCTGTCCGTGAAGAAGGTAGAGAAGCCGAGACTCCATGTGGCGGTGCACTCGGGAGTGGGCAAGGGGCACACATCGGCACCCCTGCAGGGGCCCTGCACCACGTGTCGGGGGCACTTGTGCTTGCCTGTCATGCAGGACAGTGACATTTGGGGCAATCATATTAAACCCTGTGGTTAAGTGTCCACTGTTGTCTTTTTTTTTTTTAGCTTTTTATTGATTTTAGAGAGAGAGGAAGGGGGAGGGAGAGAAAGATGGAAACATCAGTGGCAGAGAAATATCATTAATCAGCTGCCTCCTGCACACCCCCTACTGGGGATGGAGCCTGCAACCCGGACATGCGCCCTGGCAGGGAATCGAGCTGAGGACAACTTGGTTCATGAATTGACACTCGACTACTGAGCACACTGGCCAGGGCAGGTTTATTTTATTTCTAAATTAAATGCCAGTGCTTTAACCAGGAGTCATTATCCTTCCCCTGGTCTTATAAATGCTCTATTATTGGGTGATGCAAAATAAACTCGTGCATGGTCCAGCTGAGTTCTATTTGTGGAGGCCCCTCGGCAGGCTAGCGGCCAGGTTCCGCGCTCCAGTTTCGCGCCCCTAACGCGTGTTTGTGTGCCACCCTGTGCCCCGCAGCAGGAGCTCATCGACAGCATCAGCCGCAAGCTGCAGGTGCTGCGGGAGGCTCGGGAGAGCCTGTTAGAGGACATCCAGGCCAACAGCGCCCTTGGCGATGAGGTGGAGGCCGTCGCCAAAGATGTCTGCAAGCCCAATGAGTTTGACAAGTTCCGCATGTTCATTGGGGACCTGGACAAGGTGGTGAACCTCCTGCTGTCTCTGTCGGGGCGCCTGGCCCGGGTGGAGAATGCCCTCAACAACCTGGATGACAACACTTCTCCTGGTGATCGGGTATGTATGAGGCATCTGAGCTGGAAATCGGGTGGGGGGACCCACGGAAAGGTTTTCCTTGGGGTATTGAGTGAATGCATTGAGCACAGCAGCCTGTCCACCTCGTGGTGCAGGATGCTGTTGAGATGTGGAGGGCGCTCTCGTCTTTAATTGAGGGATAGCGTGTCCTCGTGGGTGCCAGGCTGCACCGCCCTCCCAGCCTCCCTAGGGATCCATCACAAAGAGGAGGAGCGGACGGGCTGTTACTTCCCTAACTGTGTGTGGCCGAGGTGGCTTCACCACGTCATCCCAGCCCTACGTCCAGTGCCTCTCGGTGGCCAGGTCCCCTGCACAGCCAGTGTGGGATGAGAACCTGTGTGTCAGGCCTGGGGAAGCCCAGGTTTTCAGAGGCAGACGTGCTGACCCGTTACAAGGTGCGGAGGCAGATTGTGGAAGACGTCCCCCCTGTTCCCGGGTAGAAAATGAACTCGCAGACACAGGAAGCCCTCCCCCCGGTCTCGGCAGCATTTTGTTGTTGTTAATTCTCATCCAAGGATATTTTTTCCATTGATTTTTAGAGAGAGTGGAAGAGAGAGAGAGAGAAAAACATCGATGTGAGAGAGACATCGACTGGCTGGCTGCTTCCCACACACTCCCAAACCAGGGCCAGAGATCGAATCTGCAACCCAAGCCTGTGCCCTTGACCAGGAAGCGAAACCTCGACCTCATGGTGTGTGAGGTGACGCTCTAAGCACCGAGCCACGGCAGCCAGGGCAGTCCTTGGCATGTTTTGAGCATCCCAGAATTCTGTGGCTTTTAGTCTCTCGACCACACGTGTGGCCATCATGATTACTTCTTAAGTTAGCCGGTCAAGGCCCATGGGAGGCACTGGAGGGGGGTAGAGGCCCATGAGCACCTATGGGAGGGGGAGGGCTGGGGCCCGCCACAGCCATGAGGTTTCTCTGGCCACATTTTCAGGATTCTCTGATGCCCGTCAATGCTCCATCGCTCCGGCCCCCAGACTTGTGGTGTTTCTGGGGCGTCGGCCAAGCTGCTCCCTTTGCCATAGTCTTCACCAGGTTCCTCTCTCCCTCTCCC